TATCAATTTAACCCAAAAAGAGATCTAAACATCTAGCAATCAAGATGGGAACTTGATACCTCAAAAGCTTGGAAAAACAAGGTGGTGATTATGGATCCAAGACCTCCTCTTTAGGCTAAGAAACTTCTAGCTTCTTCAAGTCCTTCAAAATGCACAAAAATGAACACCAAAAGCTCTCCAAAGGCCCACACACTAAAAAATGGAAGCTAAGACTCAATTTTAGGGTTTCCGGACAGAAGAGGCTGGTAAGGAGGTTAACACTTTAGACTTAACGACATTATATAGTGCTTAAACCCTAAAAATTAGGGTTTTGGGTCTGAACACGTACACTCGTGTACATCCTTGTATGCAGCGCATACATGCATGCCTCTGCAATCCACTTTAGACCAACTACGCCCTGCGTACACCAGGCTTACGCCTAAAGTACGACCTTGACAAAGCCCACACATAGAAGGCACAAATCACTAAGCCCAAAGCAACACAAATGATTAAGATAATTAGATAAATAATTAAATAAATAATACCTTAGAACCATCGTGTGTTACAATAGAGAGAAAATTCATATAATTATGACCTTTAGATAGAAATCATAATTGAATGTCACATGCAATGATAGTCCTTTGAAAAAAGCAACAAGAAGTCGAGAGTATCAAGAAAAATGTTACTTGGGATTAGAGAGAAGACTGATCTGAAAAATATAACTTGGGACTAGAGAGAATAATTGTAATGCATCTGTTCTGTATGTATGTAGATAGGAATTTTATATGGAAAAAAATGATTGTTTTTGGGAAAAACTCTCAAGCATAGCATGAGTTTTGTTGTTTGCAACTCGAAGTGCCACGTAGGGCGATATGTGCCTAAGTGATATGTGCAAAGCGCCACCGTAAGGCTCAAAACAGTAGGTCTCGAGTCTTGGATCCTATGTAAGGAAGTTAACATTAGGTTTTAAGGTATTCTTAGCCAACATCCTCTCAGGATGTAACCCTAAGCCTTGTGGGTGTGTACTGGAAGATATTGAGGCTTTGGAGTGTCCTTTTGAGAATAAGGTGGTATTTTGATGCATGTAAATCTTGTTTTATCTAAGAACTTTCATTCCTAGCATCTTTTATACCTTGGAGAGGTATAAAGCTTCCACCTTTTTCATTATCTAGCTCATATTTTATGCTTTGGGACCCTTTTTGGTCTCTTGGAATAATGTTCCTAGAGTTTGAGATACTCCAGAACTATAGAATGATTTTTGTGTTAGTTTCTAGAATTAGAATGGCAGAAAAGGTGTAACCATGGGCTCCCTTTGAGCCATGCACAAGTTCTTGGAAACTTTATCCATTAAGCCACTTGGAAGATTTTGATATGAGAGTTATAGCTCTTGGCTAAAGGGATCGACGAATTAATGAAAGAGTTTGTTAAGATGAGAAGCATGACGATTGTCTAGATACTTTTAGCGACTATTATGTCTTTTTGTAGGCGCATCACATCACGTGAAGGTCGTACCGCACCTAGCTTTTGACCTTTAATCGTTCATCGTTGACTTTTTGACCAGTTTGACTTTTGGTCAATCTTTGATGGAGTTGAGTATTTAACTAAGGATTGGTCTCAGATTGGTTTTAAGTGGTTTTTGCTAATCGTTTTGCAAACCGTTGTTGAGTTTCTACTTCTAGTCTTAGGTGAGTTTTCTTATTATACTACATGTGACATTGTATATCCTTTGTATAACAGGATATAAGTATTGTTAGGGCACGTTTATGCTAGTAGAACAAAATAGTATTTATTATCTATGTAATTGGTTAATTGTATGGTACTTTTAAGTATCATGTTTAGATGAGGTATTGCTAATTTTGGTAGGTTATTGAGTGAATGATGTAGGGTTTGTACGTACTTTAAATCAGATAGCATTAGAACTCTAATATGGTCTTATTGCATGGTTCTTTTTTTGATTTATTGCATTTGGGTAGGATCATATGTTCGATTGTTTATCTTATTTCCTAACTACATATGATTATGTATTCATTAAGGCTACCATCAATATTAGTAGTATCTTCTATATGTTTGTATGAGGGTTAAGAGACAGTAGTTGTATGATAGCTAAGATCCTATTGTCGTTGATGACTAGACAACATGGGAGACGTTAGTCTTCGTTGATGACTAGATGGCATAGGAGTTGTTGGTTGTCGTTGATCAGGTGGATCGACACCGGAGTCGAGAGTTGTTGTTTGTATTCATTGTATGTATGATGGGATATGTGGTATACCGGGGAACTTATTAAGTTTTATGCTTACGTTGTTATGTTGAATATTTTTCAAGTTCATCGGATGTGAGGGGGAAGGGCACCGTGTGAGTGTACATGGCACCAATGTCATATTATTATTTTGACTTTCGTTGGTTTTATAAGTTAACTATGGTTTAACTTTACGGATTTTAATCAAATGAATGTTATGATATGTTTTCAAGGAATGACATTTGAATGTTAATCCGATTTTAAATTAAACTTTTTTATTGAAATTTGGGACGTTATAAGAATGATCTCGAACTTGCTCTAGAAGAGTGACAAAAGTGGACTATGATGTCTTGTCTTTGAGCAAAGTAGTGATAATGTGTTGTATGACAAACTAGCTCAACTCAATGATTCATTCCAACATTTTTATTGATTGTGATATAAGTGACTCAAATGTATTTACAAATATATAACAACCCGGTATATATGACAAAGGTTGGGTAAACCAAAGATATATATATATATATATATATATATATATATATATATATATATATATATATATATATATAGAGAGAGAGAGAGAGAGAGCTAGGTTCAAATGTTTTAACCAAGTATTGTGTTATTGTATGTATAAATGTGGGCCAATCAATTTTAAATAAATAATTAAATAATTAAATAAATAAATAAGGGTAATTTAGTAATTTGTTTAGTAAATTCCAAAAATAATCCCTATAATCATGGATTTAACTAAATAAATAAGCATGTCTTCCTCAATCTCCCACCAGATAAAGCCCTAGCATCCTAGAGGGTATCGACACTTTTCCTTCCTTATAGCCACCGCTGCCGACGACCACCACCAAACCCTTCCATGTTCATGTGTTATTCTATCAACACATCGAAGCTGAAGATAATCTCCGCCGATGATGAATGTCGATAAAATTCATGAAGATGGAGGGTGCGAATTGTGATCCTCAACATTCCGACTTAGAGAAGGATAATCGTAGGGTTGTGGAAAGGACCCAAGATCACTTTGGGTTCAGTTAGAAGAACAGCTAAGAGGGATTTCACAAGAGAAGGGGAAATCGTTGATCCGAACTGTGTTGTATTCTGGGATCAAGAATTCAATTCAGTTTGTACCCTTTCTGGGTATAAAGAAAATGACTTTCTTCCATGGGAGATTGCATTTACAGTTGTGAGTTGTTTATTTTCTCCCCTTTTAAATTATTTTTAATCATTATTTAACATTGTTCTGAATCTTCTTTTCATGTATATGGCATTGAATTTCAATCAGATTATGTTTAATTGTATAATATATCTGGAATTATCATATGCTTTTACTAAGATATCATATTTTTTTTTTTTGCTTTAATCCAGGGATCAAACACAGGACTAAAGAACAAGGTTCCTTTAATCGGAAAAGCCTACTTGAATATTGTTGAATTTGCTTCTTCTGCAAATGAAAAAGAATTTGAACAGTCATTAATTAGTATTTAGCTGATCAATCCAATTGAAATTGTCTAAATGTATTGCTGGAAGGGTATTTTTGTCCATGGGGTATTGCATATATGTTATTGTCTCTTAAAATATGTCATGGTTTGGTGTTGCTTTGTTCAATTATTTGAATTTCTAATTCTTCTTGGAAATTGTTAAATTGCTTAGGGTGCTATACAATTTTAGGAATCATGAAGAAGATAAACATGTGGTACAATTCTTGAGATTGGCATGAAGAAGATAAAAGAATCGTGAATTCCAATTATGTTGGAATGGAATCATGAATTCCAGTTTTGTTGGAATCTAAACTATAATTTGGTTTTGTTTTCACAGAAGTTGATGCTTGAAGAACGGACCACAAAATTGAAAGTGATTCTAAGCAAAATTATTCTTTTAGAATGTAGTAGTGTCGTTGTTAGATTTTGATGTTTTCTTTTCGGTTTTGAAAGTTTTTTAGGTTTATTCTTTAACAATAAATGTAATTCTTAAGAATTGTTACCCGTATTCTATAAGAAATAATGTATTTTGTGTTTTTATTCTTCAATTAATTGTTCAAGAATTTGTTATTCTACGAGAAGTTTTTAAAGTCATGATCTATAGATAGGTTCAAGATAATTTTTATTATTTATGGTTCAAGATAATTTTTATTATTTATGGTTCAAGAATAATTTTATTTTTGAATATACTCAAAAACACATTCTCTCACAATGTCCGAATTTAAAGAATTATAATTTGTAAAATCTGATTTTTAAAATTAATAGAATCTATAATCTCTAAAAATATGCAATTTTCCTTTATTAAATATATATTAATTGACTAAAATACTCTTGTAATGAAATTAGATGATATTTTTCAATTATATTTAATTCAATAATATATATTAATGACTTTCTTAAAATAAGTAAAATTGATTGACCCACATTTATGCATACAATAACATAATAATTACTTTGAATAGAATAACCTAAGCCTATATATATATATATATATATATATATATATATATATATATATATATATATATATATATATATATATATACTAGCCGTTTACCCGCGCTAAGCGTCGGGCGGCAAAAAGTTTCTTTCGGAAGATAGTTTTAATAGTTTCCTTTAGACGTGGGTTATTCATTGCGGCCATTTGGTAGACTATTATGTGTCGAATAGTTCATTTCAACATATAGTTTCTTGCTAGGTGTATAGTCATACAATACGATAAAAGTTGAGTCTACATCTCAAATAATTCATCTGATAGTTCATACTTGATTTTAACAATATATAAATAACAACAATCTGCAACCATATAGTTTTGTACATTTATAACATGTCTAATATATAACCTACACCAATCTGCAATCATGTTGCTTCATCTGCTAGCCCTGCATTAAACATCAAATAAGCATCTAAGATACATATTTGAAGAAATTGTATAATAATAAGTTGTTGATTGTACCTTGTTAATCACATAACACTTCTTTGTATACAATGTTTGATGTGTAGATTCCATCATTATGAAACGTTTTTTCCGGCTTTACTAATACCTTGGTATTGACACGTGATATTCCTCTGGACAACGCCACATAAAGCTGGCCATGTGAGAATACCGATTCTGGTAGATAAACACCTACATTTGGAATTGTTTGTCCTTGAGCTTTATTGATTGTCATAGAGAAACTAAGCTGAATTGGAAACTGCTTTCTTTTAAGTTTGAATGGGAACATCTCATCGTCAGACGGACATAGAGGAATTCTTGGTAAAAACACTCTTTTTCCAGCATGTTGGCCAACCGCTATCTTTGCATCAATGACATTTTGTTGGAAAGCTCGACATATCAATCTGGTGCCATTACATAACCCGTTTGAAGGATCGATATTTCGCAAAAGTATTACAGGGCACCCAGTTTTTAACCGAAGATAATGAGGGGGTACACCACTAACATTTAGCGAGTTCAAATACTCCATCGGATATAAGTTATTTTTGTCATCTTCTGCTTCATCAAAACTATAGTAAACTTTTTGCTCGCCAGAAAATCGTTCGATCAACTTATTATTAATCTCATCAACACTTTCATTTTTAGTTGACAGTATCGCCCTCGAAATGATAAATTTTGAGTCGGCGTCGTTGGATTCCAAAGAAGGAAATATTGCATCAATCAGAGCGTCCACTGATTTAGTTTTATCAGTGTACCGAATGGACATGTTATAAGGTATACGAATATAGGACTCGTCCAATGTTTCCTCCTTTCCATCACCGACTCGTAATAAAAAATCAGAAAACCATGGGTCATTTACCGCTCTCATGTTGATACTTAATCGAAGCCTTTTAACTGAAGCCTATAGAGGTGACATTCGTAAGCTAGAGTCGACAATTTGTGCTCGAGTGCCACGTCTCACGACCAGTAACACTTGTCTAAAGTCACCTCCCATAACCATTATCTTTCCACCGATTTTCTACTAAACTTTTTATTGAGGGAACCAATGGGAAAACCGGAAACCATGATATGATAGCATCGGCCAAACGATTAAACCGCGTGTTGTTGCTGATCTTAATCATCAAATCACCACGTAATAAACTGTATTCTTGATATCTCGGATACTCAGCATAGGTTGGTTCGATTTGGAAATGGTTTAAAGAAAACACACCACCCAATAGATTCCATCCATAAATAAAGCGCATCATTTGTTGTGGAACAACTGCTAACAATTTCTCTCTCTAATAGAAAATGTAATATTTTTATAAAGAAAAATACTTGTGATAAATTATGAAAATGAATATAAGATATAAATAGTTTTGTAAACATACATTTTGATCAATGAGAACCATGAAAAGTTTGTTTGCTCTTGAATCCCTCCAAATGAAATCAACACGAACGGATGTCAAAACATACCACAAATGGTAGTTTAGTAGCAACGAAAATGCATCAACGTAAATATGACCATTCATGATTCTACAAAACGAAAGTCGGATGTGATTGATGTAGAATTAATTTAATTAATTATTTATATTAAAAACTATATTGATTTGAGATTACCAAAGTATAATAATATATGTATCGTGCTTTTGAAATATCCAAGCAATAAGAGTTTTTATTACATGGTAAAATGTAGATATCATATTGTATTAAAATTAAAGTAAATAATTTAGTACTTAAAAAAGCTTGAAGTTAGTGTTAAATTTGTTGAAACATTAAACAATATAAATTTTATAGTTCACACCAATAATTCTTTTTTTGTGATTATATAGAAAAACAGATATAAATAGTTTTGTAAACATACATTTTGATCAATGAGAACCATGAAAAGTTTGTTTGCTCTTGAATCCCTCCAAATGAAATCAACACGAACGGATATCAAAACATACCACAAATGGTAGTTTAGTAGCAACGAAAATGCATCAACGTAAATATGACCATTCATGATTCTACAAAACGAAAGTCGGATGTGATTGATGTAGAATTAATTTAATTAATTATTTATATTAAAAACTATATTGATTTGAGATTACCAAAGTATAATAATATATATATCGTGCTTTTGAAATATCCAAGCAATAAGAGTTTTTATTACATGGTAAAATGTAGATATCATATTGTATTAAAATTAAAGTAAATAATTTAGTACTTAAAAAAGCTTGAAGTTAGTGTTAAATTTGTTGAAACATTAAACAATAGAAATTTTATAGTTCACACCAATAATTTTTATGAATAAAAGCTTCGGGTTTTAAGCAAATACTCATTAATTTGTGATGTTCAAAAAACTGTTGAATTTGTTGTGATGCTCAAAAACTAATTACATTCTTTTTAAACTAAGATTTGGGCTTATAAACTTAAAGGTGTGGGCTTATTTTTTTTGTGATTATATATCTTAACGTTAATTATGTTATATTTAAATAGAAAAACAGATAGTTGTATTTTCAAAAATTTAGTCTATCAAACATTAAAATATTAAGAATAATAACATGAAAAATAGCGCTTTAATGCGGATAGATTTTCTAGGTGATTTATTATTGGAAGCTGTAAGGTTTATTTATATTAAAAACTATATTGATTTGAGATGCCCAAAGTATAATAACATATGTATCGAACTTTTGAAATATCCAAGCAATAAGAGTTGTTATTACATGGTTTATTTATTAAATATTACAGAAAACCTAAAGCATATATTAATAACAAATAATATTTATTAATAAAATGTAACTTGTCAAATAAAAAAAAAGTCTAATTGTATAAATTATAATAAATTATTATATCTAAAACCCATCAATAATAATAATAATAATAATAATAATAAAGATAATATATAGTATTGATAAGAAACAAACTGTGGTGTTTTTTCTTTGGCAAGTTTCAAAAGAACACGCCAGAATACCACAATCAATTTGATAATTAAAAGATATTTACTGATTAAAAATATTCAAAACAAATATCCTAACTTATACATATACAAACCACACTTATGCAGAATGTCAGAAACAAATAAATACACACCTAGAATTCAATTATATACATGTATTATTTGAGATAAAGAATAAGAAGATTGATCAATTTAGATAGAATACAAACAAATACATACACACATATATACAAATTATATACATGTATTATTTGAGATAAAGAATAAGAAGAGTGATCAATTTAGATAGAAGACAGAATAATATCAACAGTTGAAACAAAAGAAGTTTATCACTTCAAATAGAAGTAAGAAATAAAATATTGTACACATTTGAAGTTATAAAATATAAAAGAAGTAAAGAGAACCTGAATCCGTGTCAAGAAACGCAATGAAGCAGTGTAGCAGTCTTCCCGATTCCAACTCAATGATCAAATCGTCCCAAAACCTCAACTGTGAAATTTTGCTGTGAGTTAAAAATGAAGAACATAACTTAAATTTATAGGTTGAATAATCTATTATAGAATATAATGTTGTATTTTTGGATATTGATAATCATTCCAAAATTAAGCAAATTAAAATCTTACCATGAATATTAAAATCCATACCAAAAATATTTAAAATCTTACAAAATTAACAAATATACTAATTATCAAAATCCCTACCAAAAATATTTTAAAATCATATGAAACTTAACAAATATACTCAAAATTTTAAAAACGAATATAATATTTGTCGATTTTATTTTTGGAAATATATTGTAATCTAAAAAACAGTTTAATAGATCGGTAGTCAAAACATCTAATTAAGTCACTTAATCTTTTACACATTACAGAATTAAAAAGTCGATACGTGTCATACAGAAACATAATAAGTGAAAAAAATAAAACAAAAAAGAAAGGGCTTACAACATTTAAATAAAACAAAAAAGAAAGGGCTTACAGTTCTTTGTTCTGTTGGAGAAGCAATTGCAAGACCAGAAGCCAAAGCTGCAACATGGAAGGGTTTATTATGATTACACTAAAGCAAAATTACAAAAAACACAAAAACACTTAACAGGAACTCAATGTGCCTTGGATTTTGGATTTATTTTTCTAAATGAGCACCATCATTTCCAAATGCAGATGCAGCCTCACTCTGGGCTTGCTGTTAAGAGAAAAATACAAACAAAAAGATGTAAAATTGGTTATGAAATTATAAACCAACAAAAAATTCATTAAAATAGTTAGCTGTAAATTTTAAAATACCTGCAATAATTTGATAAACTCAGCACGTTCTTTTGCAAGAAGCTCATTCTTACTACGAACATCAAATTCCTGTACAACACTACAAAAGGTAAAATAGTCACTTCAACAACAAAATGGAGGGTAAATTGATCATTTGAAACAACAAAAATACTTACCAACAACTAACAACACCAAACCTGTAATTTTACTCATAATAGCATCTTCCCCTTACCATTTATGCCCTTGTAACTAAAAAAACATAATACCCATCACGATTTTAAGTTTAAAAAATATATGTCAAAGAAGCAAGCTCATTTCTCCCTGAAAAGAATCAAATAAACAAACATTAAAACAACACAACAAACTATATTTTTTCTTGATTACTGCTTCTTGTTTAAAAATCATATAAAGCAACATACTTTTATTTATGAGTGAAAAAAGTACATTTTAGATTTTTTTTTTTTATTAAATAAAAAAATGCTAACCTTTAATTTCATTAGTTTGCTAGAATCTAAAATCCGAGCAAGAATATTCAAAACTGTAAGCTTCATTTTTTGTTATCCAGTATTGCTGTTGATCTTTCTTTGATGTTACCTGTAGCATGAAACCAGCATTAGCCAAAAGTTCAATAACTCCAAATGAAATTACATGTAACAAACGCAACCTAAGAGCTAAACATTACTTCTTGTAAGATCAAAGAAAAAGTATGACCTTGATACACAACTTGTCCATCTGCTAAAAGTATGACATCATCAAATAGGTCATAGGTCTCATTTCGCCTGTTGTGACTCGCTTTTTTTTGTCCCACCTGAAATACCCCTAAACATTTCATCTCCTACTACAGTGTTTTCAAGACACTTCAAGACCTAAAATCTGCATATCTGAACATAAATATCAGAAAATTAGTTGTGTTTTTCTCACATATTCACTTATATTTGATACATTTTTAAACATAACACATGTCAATGGGACAAAAGTTGCAATTTTTATCTGTCTTATTCTTGAGCTATTACCTTGGGTTTTATGGACTTATGGTTGCTATTTTGGCAAGTTTCAAAAACTTGGACCATTTTACCCCCAGTTTGTCAAAACATGTTGAAGATCCACCTCTTTTGCCAACATTATCAATTGGAAACATAAGAGTTTTTTAGAAAACTCATTCCACAATATTTAGATGTCAAAATGAAGGGCATTTTTAGATAGAAGGAAAATTAGAAAATTACCTTTTTTACCCATTAAGCAATGCTTATGAAGGGCATGATAAAAAAAAAGGGTAAAATGCCATCAAATTCTAATACTTAAGGAAGGTTGATTTATAATTTTCACCTCAAAACTAAAATAAAAAAAGATTGGTCAGAAACCTATAGAAATATGGATCCGGTTCAAAAGTAGTGTAGAGTAAACAATTTTACGTATTATCTACAGTTGGAGGCAATATATTTGACATCTTTTCTGTAATTTCATCAAAAGATTAGAGACATTAAATGGTTACACTCTTACTACGTGAATTAATAATGTTACCTGCAGTAAAATTTGCAGGTTACCTGAAATTTTTTTTAGTTGCAGAAAGTAGAAATTAAAAAAAAAGACTTTAGTGCATTCAACCATCACAATGGTGGGGCAACTTTTAATCTCCTTGAATCGCTTCACATCAAATAGATGAAAAAGAATCAAGAAACAATAAAGATTTGTTGGATATCTGATTAGTATACAATATGAAGAACAAACTAACAAAAATGGAAATAAAAAGCTAACCATCATCCATTTCCTCATTTCATAAAATTCCCAAATGCTATGAGGATTCAGATATGTGCAAGTCAAAATGTGCAAGCTCTAACTTCTGATGTATATAATAAAACATGAAGGAAGACGAAGAAACATGATTAACATCAACAATGCTCGCCAAAACACATAATACCTAATAAAAAATAAAGTTAATTTCAGCCATGGATGATAGGAAAAATTGAAAATAAGAATACAATCTTGGGTAAAACATTAGTGAAGCTGCATATGATATACATAAGTTACCTGATGTATGAAAAAGGCAAATGCCCTAAGTTCTGATGTATAAAAAATCACAGGGAAGTAGAAGATAACATAAACTAATTTCATACCTTAACATCGGCAGCCTTTTTCACTCGTTTTCCAATAAGACTTCAAAAAATCAGTGCAAATACACACACACACACACACACACACATATATATATATATATATATATATATATATATATATATATATATATATACACACACACAAACAGAGAGAACAGGTGGTGATGGTGACAACAATAAACCACCAAGAAACTTACTCTAGAGTTAGCTTACTGAACTCAATGAGAAATTTATAGAGAAGCTATATTATGTGGCTAGAGATAGTTGGTAGTCGAAGGCGGAGGAGGTGAGCCCTAAGAATGCATGAAGTGCGGGTTTTGATTTATTCCAATTTGAATGTTTCTCCCAACTTTAAACATGAATCATTCAACTTCAGCTAAAAATAGGGAAACACCGAGATATGAGGAATCTGATTAAAATTTGAATCTCATAATGGATTAGTGACGCTGTTAGGTTTTTGGATAGAATGACCCACCACCACAGTCAGACCTTCAACAAAATAGAACACCACCGTGAGCCATAATCGAATGCATTCACTCAAGCCACTACATAGCCACATGTCGTAGAAGGGAGATTTGGTGGTGGTGGTGGTGTCGGGGGTTGGCGGCTGTAAATTTTGTTGCTCTTCTGGTCGTGCGATTCTCCTTCTATTGTATCAAACTCATATCTGATCTTCAAAACTCAAAAAGCAGTACAAAATGGAACCAAAAATCGCTAAATATTAAAAAAAAAAATACCTGCCTTCAATGGTCCTGCCATAAAATCTTTGAGAAAGCAACATCGTTTGTAAGGAAGAAACAAAAAACAAACTTCGGTTCGATGACTCTACGTTAGATCCAAAGCTGATTACAATAGAAATCGGATAGAAAAAAGAAGAAAACACGAAACTTGTCGAGTGAAAAACCCATAAAAATAAATCCCCAAATCCGATTTCTATTGTAATCATCTTTGGATCTTCAAAATTTGAAAGAATATAGACAGTATCTTCAAAATTAGTGTGTGTGATGCCTGGTGGCGATGGTGGAGGAAACTTAGGGTTAGTGGTACCTGTGAACGGTGTGTGATGTTGGCGTTGACGGTGGCGGTGGGATAGGTTTAGGGTTTCTCTTCCCGATAGAAGGTAGAAGTGGGGTGGTAAAGGGGGGTGGTGGATGTCGGTGGTAGTATAGGTGAACTTCTAGGGAGTCAATTATACAGTTAAAATGGAAGAATAATCGCGTTAGTATGTAAGGGTTAATGGGGGACCCTCTTCTATGTTGTAGCGACGTAAGGTGGGTGATGGTAGCGGAGGCCTGCCGGAGGGTGGAAGTAGCGATTGTCTCAAAAGAGTGGAGGTAGCGACAACTTCAAAGAGGTAGGCGGAATGGTGGTTACGTTTAGGGATACATAAGAGAAATGGGAGAAACGGCGTCTGAAGATGGGTGTATAGGATTTTAGGGTTTTTCACAAAAGGAAAAGGAAAAGCGTATATGATGTCAGTTAGTGAGATGCATAACATGTTAGTACATTATGTATTGTTTTGTACCTCTTAATTTTTAAGAAGTGGGCAATATCCTTAATAATATAGTAAATATATATATATATATATATATATATATATATATATATATACTAGCCGTCTACCCGCGCAAAGCGGCGGGGCACGTGAGTTCTTTCGGTGATATGTTTCCATTACAAAATTGTTATGTTAAAAAAAAGTACATGTTGAAGACAATATAATCAAACTATGGTGTTATTTGTTACATCATGCATCAAATAACCAATAAAAAGCAACCAGTCAAGACAATACAAAATATTAATCGTGCAATACTTCTTTATACACCACATTTGCTGTATAAACCCCATCACCTTTTGAATTTTCGTTAGGATGTACTAATACTTTTGTATTGCAACGTGAAACCCCTCTGGACAATGCAACATAAAGTTGTCCATGCGAGAATACTGGTTCTGGAAGATAGATACCTACATATGGAATTGTTTGTCCCTGAGCTTTATTGATTGTCATTGCAAAGCACAATCGAATAGGAAATTGTTTCCTCTTTAGCTTGAATGGGAACATATCATCATCAGATGGACATAAAGGAATCTTAGGCAAAAATATCCTTGTTCCTGCATGTTGACCAACAGCTATTTCTGCATCAATAACATTTTGCTGAAAGCTTCTACATATCAATCGGGTGCCATTACACAACCCATTTGCTGGGTCAATATTCCGTAACAGTATTATCGGACATCCAACTTTTAATCGAAGGTAATGCGGAGGTAAACCACTAACACTGATCGAGTTTAAGAATTCCAACGGATAGAAGCCATTTTTATCATCTATGGCTTCATCGACACTATAGTAAATTCTCTCTTCTCCTTGAAATCGATCGATCATGTAATCGTTAATCGCATCGACACTATCATTTTTTGTAGATAATATTGCCCGCGATATGATATAATCTGATTCAGACCTATTAAATTCCAATGAGGGAAACACTGCATCAATCAAAGAATCTAATGATTTTTCTTTATCAGTGTATGGAATGACCATATCATCAGGGATGCGAATAAAACTTCCGTCCACTGTTTCTTCAACTCCATCACCAACCCGTAATAGAAAGTTTGAGAACCATGGATCAGTAAGTGCTCTCATATTTATTGTTAACCGCAACTTTATAATCGAAGACCAAAGAGGCGACATTCGTAGGCTAGAGTCTACAATTTGTGCTCGTGTCCCACGTCTTACGACTGGCAATACTTGTCTAAAATCGCCTCCCAGAACCATTATCTTTCCACCAAAAGGGAGTGCCACCCCAGTGATATCTTGCATTGTCCGATCAAACGCCTCCACCACCTGTCGCTTTGCCATCGATGCCTCATCCCATATGATTATTTTTGCAAGCCGAAGTAGTTGAGCGGTACCGCTTTGTTTTTGGATTCTACAGAATGAGTTATTATCTGGAGTTAGAGGAAGTTTGAAACGCGAGTGAGCTGTTCTCCCCCAGGCATGTTATTAGCCGCAACACCCGATGAAGCTGTGGCGAGTGCAATATGACCAAGTTTGCGTATATTAGCAAGTAAAGCTTTGTACAGATATGTTTTTCCTGTTCCGCCAGGACCATCTATGAAGAACACTCCTGTACAATCAGTACACACATGCCTCATGATCTCATCATATGCATATTTTTGTTCAGGATTGAGAAACTCTTTGGCACGCAAATGGTCATCTTCCACAATTATAGAGCATTCTTCTTGTACCTCTCGAAAAACTCCAGACTGAAAATTCAAATCGGTGTTTACAGTCGGGAGATCAAAGTTATCAAGCTTGTTACCCATAGACTGTAGGAATACGCTTATGTCTGTAAGGACCATATTTTGTACTCGATTGACATTATCGTATTGTCTACTATAATCTTCGGAGAGAGAATTGTAGTGGGAATTCCATATCTTGCGAACATCTCCAGGATCACAAAAAACTAATATCGTTGCAAACAACCTTCTGAGAGCATTTGGAAACTGAAACAAGGAGGCCTCTACAAGACACTGCGATAAACTATCATCTGTCTCTATTAACCCTCTTTCAAGAGCCGCTTTTCGAAATGTGGGATGTCTTACGTTATTGACTGTGTACAGATCTTCAAAACATGTAGGACCCCTAACATGACATAATAACACACGTAGATAGTATCGCTCACCTTCAGCAGGATTTGCAGAAACCAAACGACCAACTGCTCGTGATACTTTTCGAGGATTCCATAGACGCGATTCTTTATTCCATGTGAAGTGTTTGGGAAAATCTTTGTATAAATATTCTCTTGCATTAACGTTATCTTTATTCATCTTGAAAAATGCAGTCAACATTGATCTCTTATCTTTCTCCCTCTCAACAACTGATTTCATTGCATCATCATCAGTGAACCTAACCAACTGTTGGTTTGGAAGATGCAATTGCAAAGTGATCACATTAGGGTGGATTTGATTAAGAGAAAAGCTAAAAATTCGCCATACTGCTTCTGGAGCGGAGACGTATCGTGCATCCTGAAAACGTTTTATCTCATTGATAACAACAGGTTGTGCATCTGGATCAATATGGATAACTTGCTTGTCGTGACCCTTGTAAATATACTTAAAGATGTATTTCACTGATGTTATACTCGAGCAAACCTCAACATTTAGATGGCAGTTGAACATCATCAACAACTTTGGGTTATATGGGACAACCCATCTATTATCCATCATAATACCTTGTTTATTCACAGCAATTCCATTATCTCTCCTTCGATAAACCGGATATGTGTCCTTTCCTTGTGTTGTGGCTTCGTTGAATTGTCGAGGGTATCTAAAACGACAGGTTGGTGGATCACCTTGCATACAAGAACATTTTTTGTTTAATGTACCACAAGGACCATGTATCATGTGTGATTTGACCAGATCGTGTAGTATAGGATACTTTGTCGGGTTTGGAATTTCGGCACACACATACTTGTCATAATGGTCTGTATTGGTGAGCTTCCATTCAGGTTTCATTATTAAGAGAAAATGAGCATGTGGTAAACCACGTTTCTGGAACTCTATTACATAAACATATGCACTCACCACACCAAGGACGTGCCTCTTCAAGAGTTGTTCCTTAAGGTCATGTAACTTAGCACGAAAAACTCTTGCAACCAGATCTGGTCTATCTTGTGCTGTTTGAAAATGAAGTAACTCATTTTGGATTTCAGGCCAATTCGGATTGCACGTTATTGTAAGGAATATATCAGGTTTCCCTCCATCTTGAACTAAAGCCATAGCATCGAGAAATCGTCGTCGCATGTCACGAGGACCTCCGATGAAACTTGCTGGCAAAACAACACGTTGCCCAATCATACTTGCTTGTACCTCACCGGCATTGACACAATCCACAACACCTTGGTATAACTCCGCTCTTATTGTAGATTGGTTTTTTCTACAAAATTCCAAACGCGAAGTCTCAATCTTGATGTAGATATCTACCACAAATTGTTGTAATAATCTCCCTCCTAACATAATTACGTTCAAGTTTGATCGAATCTGCAACTTGTAACAGTAGTACTCCCGCATAGTTACAGTTTTCCTACCCGTTCTTATATCAGTCTCTACATAATGATTAAATTGAATAAATTATATCAATTTTTACATTTGTAAAATTTAACAATATTAAAATTGTGGCTATGCGTACCTTCTAGATCTTCATCGAAGATTTGGTCGTCATTAACCATCTCATTGAATGAAACCCCTTGCCTTAGTATGTTAGAATGCCATCCAGGCTCACCATTTGGAAAGAATAAAGGATAACACAATGGGTCATAACATCCCCAATAAGATTGAATTGTTTTTGGTTTGTCGGACCTTCCATATACTATAATACTTCTTTTATATGCGGTTATGTTGTCATTGCCTTCAATCCAAATACCAGCAACCTGTGAAATTATACAATAGAAAAAATATGATTAAAACTGGTACGTAATTTGCATAGTTATATTTAATACATGAAACATCTTTTTTCTCAAAAACATATGTACATAATTAATTTCAAACCTCGGATGTGGTTGGCCGGTTGTACACCCTTTGGTCTAGTTCTACTGATGCATTTAAAGTGACTCTGTAATTGTCGAGCGGTCCTAGATCAGCAAGGCTACGAAATATTGCAACGTATGGGTTTGTAGCAAGAACGCGAGTCAAAATTTCAACAATTGGTTTAGCAAGATTCTTCCATTCGAGTCTATTTGACATCTCAGCTTCAACATCGTAAAAATACAATTGTAAGAACTTAGGTTCATCCTTTTTCCTTGGAACTAACTGATCGATTCTATGGTATATCCCTCCATTCACACAAAAAGTGTATACCCCAGATGTCATATTGGCCATCGATTCATCCACTTCTACGCCCATTGATGCAAATGAATAGTTGGTGTTGTATGCACGTATATTCTTTCTAAACAATTTGCCTAATTTTGTTTCTGAGGTGAAAAGATTGTGTAATTCGTCAGGAATAGATGAGTCTGCCAACTTTGTCTTTCCACTCATGCAACAAAAGCCAGCAGATTCAAATTGTAGTCGTTTTGCCCCACAATAACTACATATATCATTGAACTTCACCACACGATTGCTAATATTTTTTCTCTCTGGTGTAAATAACAAAATGGTAATGGTATTATTTACAAAATTAAACTTTTAATAGAAGTTGAATATTTTAATTGGAAAAAAACCTTACCTGGCGATCTATCATCCACAAGAGCATCCTGTTGTTTTCCATGTCCTCCCAAACATACAATACTCTAACACTTGTAATGTTCCACCATTCATATATTTGCCCCAAAGCAGAAAATTCATTAACAGTAGTATGATAAATATCCATTTCAACTGAAAAACACTTCAGTTAATAATTGCTATACTTGATGGTTTTTCTAATACATATTGCTTGTACTATGAAATAAAGTAAAAGTTCAATACCTGTTTGATTCTGATATAGCATATAGAACAGATGGTTTT